TACAGCAATATTGCCTCTCACTATTTTACGAATCATTTGTCGATTCATTAGTGCTAGAAAAAGAACACATCATGGAACTGTTGGGAAATTCTGAGAAGTAATAGCTTAACATAGAGAATGGTACACACACGAGAGCTCGTTTGACGAAGCCTGAGACGCCTCAGTAAGACACTTTTTTCTCCGGCTCGACTGAACCCCTTTTTTCATTAGCCCAATGTTAACGTTATCTCTATCGTTAGGTAATGCCAGTCCAACACGCAGCTTCATTTCTACGGTTAGGCCTACCGTCCACGGAGCTTTTCTAAAACGCTCTTCAAACCGGAAGAATTTGAAAAGGCCGGCTTTTCGTTTTCGTGTGGACGGAAAACATTTTGAAAACGAAGCTTTTCGTAAATGATGGCGTCACGATAATGAAGTGATTTCCCTGACCGAGTTTTCCTCAAACACAAATCCAAAATGAGCGGTGATTGTTGCGTTCTTAAATTCCTACGGCGTTGTGTGGGCGCGGCCTAAGGGCTAGGGGTATTCTTATGACTTGTTACTGATCTATTGTCTTCATTAAGAAACGATGAATCAATGAAGTAATTCGTTCCGAGAGACAGTGTAGGAGTGGAATGAATTACAACCACAGATGTACTGGGCCATGCTTATTTGTTATACCGTAAAGTTCCGAAAGTAACGTCCCCCCAAAAGTAGCAACCCTCCGAAAGTAACGATTAAACTTCACAGGTGTTAGCAAATCCAGAATCTAGCCATGCCTTCCCCCCACCCCACTCCGCGACCCTCCGAAAATAGCGACCCTCCGAAAGTAGCAACCCTCCGAAAGTACTGACCTCAAAAGTGATTCCCCTTTTTAGCATGTGCATATGAAGTGAAAGTCAAAAAGGATTACCACAGCTGAGGAAAGATTTGAAGGAAACCCTGCAACACATACCTGTATTAATGGGAACTGACTGCTGTTAACCTAGATTATTCAAAGACTGATTCTCTCGAATTGTTATTCAAAACAATAGCATGTAATAAGGTTCTCCAAATAAAAAGCGTTCAAGTTTTCACATTTGACGCGATTTTATTACCGTAACCCCGAACGTTTTAGCTACCCGAGAGTAGGGACCATCCGAGAAAAGGGACCACCCGAGAGTAGGGACCACCCGAGAGTAGGGACCATCCGAGAGTAG